TGGTGGCCGGGAAGCCCCTTCCTCTGGACCAGGAGCAGTGGGATGACGGCTCAGAAGCCCCTACCTCTGGGCCGGGAACAGCGGGACTCAGTACTTTGGTCTGGTGGTCTGGTGTCCTCTGCGTCTTTGTAGTGTGGAACCAGGTGGCTGCCTATCTGCAGCGGGGTGATTCGGTGTCTTCTGCGTGACTCAGGACCTCGGTAGGGCGTGCCAAATATGTTATTTCATTAGGGATTGTAAAATGATATTTTCTTTTCTTTTTTTTTTTGGTACATGGGATTGAACTTGGGACCTTGCGCTTGCAAGGCAGGCGGCGGAACCACTGAGCTAAATCCCCAGCTTACAATGATATTTTCTATATTAATCCCTCCACATTATCAGCTGGATTATTTCTTTAAAGAAAATTGTCCAAAGAGATTTTTATATTGACCAAGTTTTAAATTTGGAAAAGGGCCCTTAAAATTAAAAGCGTATACCAGTCCTTTTTGTACATGTGGATACCTAGAAAAAAAGATCAGAACAAAAGATACCAAAACATTAATAATAGTTACCTCTAGATAGTAGAATTATGGCTAGTTACATATTTTACATTTCTAATGAGTAAATAGGACCTTTGTAATCAGAAAAAATTATATTATAAAAAATAATTTCTGAAATGTTGATCAAAATAAAGAGAAAATTTCATCTTCCAAAAATGTTTTGTCCCTAAGGAGGTCATGGTCATTGTAATATCTTTTTTTTTTTTTTTTGGTACTGGGGATGGAACTCGGGACCTTGTGCTTGTGAGGCAGGCGGTGGAACCACTGAGCTAAATCCCCAGCCTGTAATATCGTTTGAGTAAATGATGAGTCAACCTATTCTTTAGAATCCTGTACCTCTGTGGTGTTTGGTTTTTGTCCCACCCATGTTAACACCCACTTGGCATTATTATTTCCTGAGGTTTTGGAATAATGGAGGCAGAGATGGGGCAAGTGACATTCATCATCGTGGACAGATGCAAACCAGTGGGCTCCAGTTTCCTTGTTTGATATGTTTCCTGGGCACTGGTCAGGCAGAGACTCGCCTCAGGAATGATCTTCATTTTCAGTATGCCAAATCCATTTGGTCCTGATCTTCACCCTGGTCAATTAGAATGGGCAGTTTTCCAGCTTGGGGAACAAGCCATGGGACTGGAGGAAGGCCATTTAATTTCTAATTTGTTTTCAGTGTTTTGGAAGGCAGTGACCTGGCTTAGCAACACCAGTGGCCCTTTTAAAGATCCTTTGGACTAGACATGGTGGTGCATGCCTATAATCCCATTACTAATTGAGAGGTCAATACAGGAGGATCATTGCAAGTTCAAGGTCAGCCTGGGCTACATAGTGAGTTCTAGGCCAGCCTGGACTACATAGTAAGATCCTGCCTCAAAAAACAAAAAACAAAAAACAACAACAACAACAACAACAAAAAGATAAAAGATTCTTCAGGTAGCAAATGTTCACCCAAGGATAGACTAGGGATTGCCTCCTTCTCAGTCCATTCACTTCCTCATGGTGCTCCTCCCTGGGCAGAAATAACCTCTCCTGGGACAGATTGCACTCAGAACCTGTTGTATGTAAGAGTACTGCACCTTTACCTCATTGTCTTAGGGAGGGACCAGGTGTCATTCATGTCTGTGTCTGTGTATGATGTTAGGCCCATAGTATTTACTCAGTAAATATTTGCTGAGTGACTTGACTCTTAGCTAATTACTCAGTATTCATGATACCAGATAGTCAACTTTGTAGTTTCTTGTTATTGTTTTGTTTTTTGAGAGAGTGTCATTATATTGTTTAGATGAGCCTCCTGGGCTCAATCGGTCTTCCCGCCTCAGCCTCTCGAGTTGTTGGAATCAGAGGCGGGTGCCACTGCATATGGCATTGTATATATTCTTTGTCTTTATTCGCTCATGTTACATGTGTTCTTGCAGGCATCTTATTATAGAAAACTTTATTCCTCTGGAAGAAAAGAGTAAAAATATGAACAGATCCTTTTTTGATGAAGAGGAAGATCATTGGAAATTACATCCTATAACCAGACTGGAGTAAGTTACTATTTACATTAAGTAGACTTGCAGGTGGGGAGGGGACAAAGAATTGTTGAAAAGCTGGACTTGACCAAATGAGCATGGGAAGAACACAGTTTGATTTATTTAACATCAGAACCAATTATATTTCTGACTTTGTGGCTCCCATAGGTCCATGAGGTAAAGTTTGGTGATGAGTGTGGTATTAGCAATTGGTAGGCTTTGTCACCAGTGAGCTAAAAACTTTTCTCAAGTTCTTGGATTTCACCCCATCCTCACTGAGTGAGATGTGCTGGATCCAGTGAGGGTAGCACAGAGGTGATATTTTGTGTATCAGTCTGAGCCTGGGTCCTGCTGGGAACAGAGGAGACCTCTGCCAAGGATGCAGAGCTGGGGAGTGTTCATAGCTGTGCTTTGTGTCTGCTGTCTAAGAACTACATGGTGATGACCATGGATCCCTTCCAGCTTAAAGATGCATGGGGCTCACATCTGAATCAGACAGCAACTCAAGCAGAAAATAGAAGCAGCTGCTGCCTACTTTCATTAGCCCCCAGTCCTGGGAGTTAGCACTCCAGGTTCTGTGTGGCTCAGAGTCTTCTCAGTGCTTGTTCCACAGGACCAAGCCTGGGCTGTGGGGCACACTCCAGCTACGGCCCTAACACTGCAGTCCATTTGCAGGAATCAGCAGATGATGAAGCGGCCAGTCTCCGCTGTTGGCTATAAGAGACCATTGAGCCAACATGCAAGAATGTCCATGATGATTCGTCCAGAGTCCCGATACCGGGTGAGAAGACTGTCCTTGGGTTTTCCCCTCCCTCTTTTGGAGGAGTCTAGATCTGAATGGTTTAAATTGTTAAGCACTATTCTGCAAAGTCGCAGAGTTTGTACCCTGACTCTGTCCAGAGAGATTGACAACATTTATAATAATTATAACAAGTAATACATGACTATAGTAATTTATGAATAATAAGTGAGAAGGTAGGGTGAGACTGAGAAGATCAGAGCAGGGTACAGAGGGGAGTGCAAACTTCATGTCCATTATGGCCCTTAAACATTAACTGGAAACTTCAGAATGGTTCTGTAGGAACCTTGGAACGAATGCAGATGTCTGGTGACAGGACGTGGGCCTGTGCTAAAGAACTTCTGGTACTTTCTTTGCACATCATGTGTGTCAATCATGCAGTCATTTAAAATGACATAAAATTTAGGGCTAGTAATTATCCCAAAATATTTTACAATAAAAATGCTGTAGAGCTTCTATTTATAAGCACTAGCTGTGTGTCAGGCCCTATACCCAGTGCCAGACTGCTTTCTTTAATGGGACCTTCCCATTTATTCTGAGTAGGCAGGAGCGGGTGAAGAGATCCTGGGAGGCACAATGTATTAAGTTAAAAACAGTTTGTACAGGAAGTGTATGTATGATTTAAAAATCCAGTCCAGAGTAACATTTTGGCCATTTTTTTAAGACCATGATACACAATATATTAATGATTATTATTCTCTAATTATTTTGTTATGAAATTTTATTTTTTTCATAGAAGAATTTTTAAAATATTTTCTTTATTAATATCTACTTATATTACATTTAAAAATGTAAATTTAAAAATCCAGTATAAAATATATGAAAATGGAAACTTGCTTTTTCTGGTTGACGGAAGTATTCTCAGTTTAAATTTTTGTCTTTTTGCTTTATCTATATTTTGAGATGATCAATAAGGAACCTGTATTTTTACAATGAAAGATTTTAACTTAAAAGTTCAAAAATGTTAACTAGGCATGGTGGCATATACCTGTAATCCCAGCACTCAGGAAGCTGAGGCAGGAAGATCATATGTTTGAGGCCAGCCTGGGGTACATAGCCAGTTCAAAGCCAGCCTAGACTATAGCAAGACCTTGTCCCAAAAAGAAAACAAAGTTTTGTTTCTTCTTTGGAGCCAGAGTAAAATAGATTATTTGAATTAGTTAACTTCCAAGGTGCTATTCTTGACACTGAGCTACTTAAAGTAAAAAAATCAAAAGCAAAACAGATTTAATAGATGGAGTTTTATGCTATGGAAGATGGGTGGTGTGTCAAAATCCTCAGAAGGATTTTTCTAGCTGTTTCAGATGTTGCATATTTGGCCAGTTATTTTGTGTCTCAAGCCAAAAACATGATTTTAAAGCCCACAAATCAAATATGTGAGTTTCCAGAGGACTAATCTGACCCGAAGGAGAAGTTAAAGCAGTGATTTGCAAATGAGCAATGAACCTACTTCCATCAGGAGCAATTTTATGCACTATCTCAATATCTAAAATTGACAAATAAGCCACTTTCTCTCCCCACCCTCTCCCTACTGTGTCCCCTCGTGCCCCCTCTGGAGCAACCAGAGTAGAAGATGGTATGTGTATTTGTGGTGCTTCTTTCTTTATCCAGTCCTCCCAGGAGCTGTGAGAGGCTCACCACAAGACATCGAGTGACAGAGTTTATCTACAGGACTAATTATGAGGCAAGGCTCACAAGTTGTTCTCAAAATGTAATTATAAGGACATACACTGCTGAGCATACATACCCTCCACATACACACACCAGACTCTTCTTCCCCTTTGCAGCTGAAAAGTCTCTAGGAGACTTGGTGATGACTATTTTCTTTATATCTTTTTGTATTTCAAAACTGTCTGTAATACATGGGTTTTTACTTAATAATTTTTCTCTGATTATTTCCCGTAGGGTATAAGATATGTTCCTTGTAAATAAAAATAAAAATAGAAAATACAGAAAAGCATAAAGAAGAATATAAGCTGGGTGTGGTGGCACATCCCTGTAATCCCAGCACTTAGGAGGCTGAGGCAAGAGAATTGCTGTGAGTTCAAGGCCAGCCTGGGCAACATAGGGAGCTGAAAGTCAGTCTAGACTACGTAGTGATGCCCTGTCTCAAAAAACAAGCAAACAAATAAACAACAACAAAAGAATATAAAAAAATATGTAATCTCACCAGGAATAAAATATAAAGCTATATTATTTGTTCTAGGCAGGCTCTTGGTATGCTCTGAATGGCAAGCAATTTGCAGTCCTGTCCCCAGAGGAGGTTTAGTGTGCCTATATTCTCTGTCTGTCTGACTGGAAACTAACCTAGCTGGTGATGACTTTGTTTCTGCAGGCAGAAAACACAATGCTCTTGGAACTGGACATGCCCAGCCGGACCACAAGAAATTACGAGGGCCCAGCCATTGCCCCCAAGGTCCAGGCTGCGTTGGATGCAGCTCTACAGGATGAAGATGAGATACAGGTGGATGCGTCGTCCTTTGAAAGCACTGCAATTAAGAAATCCAAGGCCAGGTGAGTGGCTTTTGGTGACCTGTGTTTGAAATAAAGACAAATCAAGGTAGAGGGTGACATCATGAGTGTTTGTTTACTGTGGAATGCTTGTAGAACATACTAGAAGTTGTTGCCATATTACTCCTATGTTTATTCACTTACTCCACAAATGTTTATGATTGAGACCATGTGCTAGGTACACTGAATACCACAATACCTAATGCACCCAGTCCCTACCATAAGGAACATGTGTTCTGGTGACCTACAGCACAGTTCTTTAGTTCCCATTGGTGCTGGTAGTTCTTTTTTGTTTGTTTGTTTATTTTTTTTTCTTGTACCAGGGATTGAATTTGGGACCTTGCACTTGCAAGGCAAGTGGCAGCACCCCTGAGCTAAATCCCTGGCCCCTTGGTGCTGGTATTTCTTAAGTGCTTCATATGATTCTATTAATGATTTCTTACAAAAAGAAATATCGTCAATCCCATTTTATTGAAAAAATTGGGACATAGAGAATTTGAGAAAGTAGCTATTTTAGTTACTTTTCTTGTTGCTGGGACAAAATACTCAACACCGACAAGTTAAAGGAGGAAAGGTTTATTTTAGCTCAAGTTTGTAGAGGCTTCAGTCCTTAGTTGGCTGGCTTCAAACCAGGACAGCATGGCAGAGGGGCAGGCAGAGGAAAAAGTTTATGGGAGGGTAGGCAGGAGGCAGCAAGCAGAGAGCCTTCCTTTCCCCTTTTTCCCATCCAGGCTATAAGCCTATTGGATGATGCCACCCACACCTTCCCATTACCCACACCTTCCCATTACCCACACCCAGATCCAATCAGTGGGCTGATCCAGTTATCACACATCCTTAATCCAGTATTACCCACCCATGATCCAGCCATTCCCAGAAGCCCACTTGGGAACACATGAAGCTTTGGGGGACATTTGAGCTATAAACCATAACAGTAGCCAAGTCCAAGGAAATTTAGCAAGTAAGTATTAAGACAGAGCCAGTGTTCAAATCTTGGTCTACCTTAACCCACGACCCAGGCTCTGAGCCTCCTTACTAAATTAACCTCCTCTGCTTGATGCAAAAGTAGAATTTTATCTTTGTAAATTCTGGATTAGAAGTTTAAGGGGAAGATGGGGTAAAAAACAAGCATGAAAGAAATTCTATTTGTAAACTTTTCTTTTTTTTTTTTGAAATATGGTATTCCTCTTACCCAGGCTGGTCTCAAACTCCTGGGCTCAAGTGGTTCTCCTATCTCAGCCTCCTGAGTAACTGAGACTACTGGTGTGTGCCACTGCACCCGAGTTCATAGTTTACCAGTTGGGAGAAAACAGTCACACTCAGAACAATTGCTGAGCATCAGAGTCCCTCGAACAAAATTCGTACCTCTATTGGCACCCCGTGTTGGCCATGCCTAGGGGATCAGGCTGGGCCAACATAGTGGTTTTACAGTTGCGTGTGTCCTGGCTTTCAGGCCATTGAGGAAAGGTCACCTTGAAATATGCATGGCACTTGGAAATGTATGATGTCCACATGTGCTTGACTTTTGCAGACCTAAAAGTGGCAGGAAGTCAGGATCCTCTTCCTCGTCCTCCTCAGGAACCCCTGCATCTCAGCTGTATCCACAGTCTCGGGGGCTGGTTCCCAAGTAAAGCTGGGGCTCTTCTCCCAGGGCATGAGCAGCAGTGTTGCCTTCTGAGAGAAGAAATGAGCACGAAGCTGCAGAGAGGATTCGAGCCCAGACTCAGAACTGTTCCCCTGAGGAGAAGCAATGGCCTCTGCAGATTAACCAACTTAATCTGGTCGAATGTGCTGGCCCTAATCTGGCACTCAGCTCCTCTGGGAAATGTCCTTTAAATAGCATCTCAGAAATGCATGGGTAAGGAAAAGTGCGATAGTCCAAGAGGACAGCAAGAGAATGACCATGACCTTGCTTCCCTTCTCCCTTGCCTTCTCTCCACCCCTCCCCTCTTTTCTCCCTTCTCCTTTTCTAGCCTGTTTTCACATTGGGCTCCCGTCTTGTCAAACAATGGGGCAGAGTCAGGGATCCCCTTAGCCAGACTGTGTCTTTGGAGCCTCAGGATAAAGTGACAGTGAGGTTGAAAAGTGAAAGCCCTAGAACTTGAAGAGGTGCCTGATCTTGTAGGGAGAAATGAGGAATCTCATTTGGATCCATGCCCAGGAGGACACAATCAGCAACCTTGCTTTTATGCTTCTCAGTAAGAAGTGGGTCTGCTTTTGGGATCTGCTGAATGAGAAACTCTTCCAATTTCTGCTCGTGAAAGATTCAATGTCAGAAGCAATAAAAATAACATTCCCTTTGCCTCCTTGGAGAGTTTAGGGAAATTGCTTCTTTCAGACCTCAAAACCAGACCATCCAGTCAACCTAAGTCTGAAAGCCAGTGCCATGTTCATCCACCATGTCACTTTACTGTTCTGGATTTGTCATCATCTTTCCCTATGCATGCATACTCTGAGCATCCTTGAGTAAGCCTGTCCTCTGTCTCCAGAGTGTGCTTTGTAGTGGGCCTGTTTTGTGGGAGAAGGGAGGCTGGCTCTGCCTTCTCTGATGACTAGAGTTGGGGGAAAGCAACATCTAGTGGCACTTTTGAATTCCCCATTTTGTTCCATACTGGCAGAAAGAGCAGAACAGTAGCTAGGCAGAGGCAGAGCTGGAAATATGAGACTCAGAGCAGTGGGAAGGGAATGCATACAGGTGGAAGCAAAGGAGTCCTGCTTGCCTTCAGGACTCATGGAATCCTAGAGCTGGGACTCCTGCCAGGTGGACTGTTACTCATTTCCCCCCAAGCTCATAAGTGTGTACGCACAATGTGTCTGTGCCCTATGGGTCCATGTGTGTCTGTAAGAAACGGAGACCATGAATTTGCCCAATTTTAGAAATATGCTAAAGTGCAGTTGTTGCCTTTTGTCCATTAAAGGCCTATTAAATGACTAGTCCAGGCTGGAAGCACTACTATGTGTGTGTCTGAGTCCACAAACCAAGCCTGAGGAGACGTTATGAGTTCCCAAGTCTGCCTGGTACACCATGCTGGCATGGTGTCTCAAGAAGATAGTGACTCAGGTGGGCCTTGAGTTATATTTTAACTTAACTGCTCAGTTCCCAGGGCACATTTCTGGATTAGAACCCATGGGGAAGAGGAGGTAACAAGTGCAATGTCTTAGCAGTCTGGAAAACAGAGATCTGGTGTTCACAGATCTCTTCTTGTTAGTAATCATTCTTTCTGAACCCAGGGCCCTATTCAGCAGTTCCCAGAGCATAATGGAGCCTTCTTTCTTCTTTTTGTGGGTTCAAACCCTGCTTCTTCCTTATTTACTAAGAACTTGCCTGTTTGAATAGGAACAAATGATGTAGCCTACGATGGTTATCTACTGGTGAATGTGTCTCTCACACTACATTCCTTTGAAGCTAGTCTGAATTCTGTAGGCTGAAAATAATCATGTAGCAAATCAGAGAATTGAAAACTGTGGATAACACTATACCTTAAAACTGATATCTTGAGGTGGCCATGTGAGCAAGGGTAGTTAAGTGACACAGAACTTTTCCAGGAAGGCAAAAGAGGAAAGCCAGGTTGACAAGGCTTAAATACTAAGACAAGCTTGTCTGGTACTCAGCTGTGTTTATTTGGTGGTCTGGGGACAGTCAGTAAAAGGACACTCACTTGGAGAGATGAATCTATCCCTTTCCAAGCAGTCTCTGGTGCTTTTCTTCTCTCAAAATGGATCCGAGAAATATTCAAAAGGAGCAGATGGTAAGATGTGTTGTTGCCACCAGAATGGTGCTGCTTGGGCTTCTGAATTGAGCCACATGTGTAGAGGACATAGCAAGCCCACTAAGGGCATCCATGCTAGAGTGTTCCAGGATGGTGGAGAGCCTTCATGCCAGCAGCTAGTAAAGTTTGAAAGCAAGTCTCTTGTGGGACCTCAGAAGACTATCTGGGAGAAGGAATTTGAGACTGTCTGCAACCTCATCAGACTCCCTTTTGTTCTGCTCAGTAGAATATATCTGGCTTCATATTTTTACAGTCACACATCTCCCAGACCCCTGGATTCAGAACCCAAGGCCACAAATCATAGGCATGAAGCACTTTCTTAAGACTCTGACTTAATGTTAAATGGTTTCCCATCTAATGCCTGCATGCTGCTTGACTTGCTCCACCCACACTTTCTCAACCAAGGGCACCAGAGTGTTCTACAGCTTAGGCATGGGCTACTCTCTGCTTTTTCTGTCTGACTCTTGTAAGTCCTGACTCACTGAATGTAGATTCGTTGCCAAGTTTCCGAGAAGTGTCGACTCCCTTGTAACACAGGGTGCCAGTTCTGCCTCACAGTCCCATTTGAAGTCCGAGTATATTGTGAATGCTCCTTGGACCATCCAAACACCATCAGTAGATGAAATCCAGGCTTTTAATGTACCGTAAAGCCATGCTGAAAATGCTCAGAGGGAACTAGATACAAATAGTGGGCCTGGCAGTTGTCTATCATGTGAGGCTTTGTCTTTTACTATTTGGAAATCAGGCAACTTTCTCCCTGCCCTTGTCTCTTGAATGAAATACTTTTGAGGTTATTTATGAAAGGGGTGGTCCCAGCTGGGCAGAAGGCAGTGGGGTTTATGGCTCCTTGGAGTTACTATTGATCTTGACCTTCTCTTTGGCTACTTGTAGACAAAGAATCTGCCAATACTTGGGGCTCTAAGTTTTACGATTGATATTTATTTGTATCATCTCTTTGTCTAGGAATGTAAAAGTGATTCTAAACTAAGATGTGTAATAAAATCAATCAGATTTATTGTACCTACAAAAAGGTGTCCTCGTAAATGGCTGACACTTTTGAAAATAACTAATGCCTGTAGCTGAGACACTATTTTCTTTAAACTTTTTTTGGCCCCTTATTTAAACATTTTAATTTTGTTGTTGTTAAAGGTTGGGCTGGGGATTTAGCTTAGTGGTTTCGCCGCCTGCTGTGCAAGTGCAAGGACCCGAGTTCGATCCCCAGTACCAAAAAAACAAACAAACAGAAAAACAAAAAAGAAAGGTAGAAGGGGAAAATACTGAATTACAATACTGGCATTTAAAATACATAGCAACAAAGAAGAGAGACATAAAATGAAGAGAGACAGGGCTAGGGGTATGGCTTGGTGATAGAACACTTGTCTAGAATGTATGAGGCCCTGAGTTTGATCCCCAACACCTCAAAAAAAGAATGTGGGTGGGGGAAGACCTTAACAAGTGCTTCTCACATTTTTCTTTTTCTTTTCTTTTCTTTTTTTTTGGGGGGGGTACTGGGGATCAAACTCAAGGGCCTTGCTCTTGTGAGGCAGGTGCTGTGCCACTGAGCTACATCCCTAGCCCAAAGGTTTCTTAATTGTGTTTTTCATAAGATGCCCTCAAACTATGTGTTATGTCTCTTTACCTTCCCCTCTTCTTTCCTTAAAGAGTTAAAACAAAAACTAAACAAAAAACCCTCATAGCTTGGCATAGTGTAAGTCACTTTTGTTGGAAAATAAGCAGGAGTTCAAAGAATGTATTGTTGAGGCAGAATCCTGGGTTGGGATGGGGGCTGATTCACCAGGATGGCAAATGCGCACCTTGGAAATTGCTGCCCACTTATCTCTTGGATTTTTTTTTTAATTGAGAAACTACTAAATCTTGGAAACTGTATTTTGAACTTCAAACTTATTATTTAATCTTGGGGCTGATTTTGGCAGGCCCTCAGATGAGAGCCACCATCTGATTGAAGTTCACCTGAGAATCTGGTCTCCAAGGACCATGTGGTGGTCACATCTGCCAACTGGATTGACAGTGGCATTTGTCATAACATAACTGTAGCACTTGTAGCTGTCCGCATTTCATCCTCGGTTGGTTTCTATCTCTAGTGTTGTGGTTAACAGCTCCCCAGGTGCTTCAGTTAGGCGAGCCAACTGGAGTCTTGCTGTGGGGGTAGAAAGTGGGCCCAGGCGGGGCTGCTCATAGCATCTCTGGTGATCGTGCAGCCAAGACACTTGAATGTCTTGTGTTCGCCAGGGGTCTTGGTCTGCGTTGGACACGTGGAGAGGCGTGAAATGTAATGTGGCCCTTGTGAGGAGAGGGGAGGCAGAAACAGAGACAGTGACTAGGAGCCTCAGTACCCATAAGGCTTGCTTCTCTCACACGGGTCCCACAGCCTTTCCATTTGGTTCCTGGGTCATGCCAAATTCTTTCCTGGCCAGCACCATCTTACATGCTCTGTCTGATGCCTGATATACTTTCCTCTCCACTTTCTGCTTGGCTCACTCTTATCGGTCAGCTTAATGTCACCTCCTCAGAGAAGCCTTCCCAGCCTCTGTTCTGGTCTCCCCACATACACACTGTATGATCTCTCGTCAAACTTGTTTCCTTCTGGGCTGGGGATTTAGCTCAGTGGCACCGTGTCTGCCTTGCAAACACAAGGTCCTGAGTTCTATCCCTGGTACCAGAAAACCCCCAAAACAAAACAAAACAAAAAACTTGTTTCCTTCTTAGCCTTTTTCCCAATTTACAGTTATGAATTTCTTTGTTAAATTCCCTAAGGGCATTGTCTTCTCTAAACCTGGTGTTTAGAAGAATTAGATGATGGGGCGGTGGATGTAGCTCAGAGGTAGAGCACTTGCCCAGCATGTGTGAGGTTCTAGGTTTGATTTCCAAGCAGTGCAAATAATAAAAAAATAAATGCGAGGTGTGGTGTTGCTTGCCTGTAATCCCAACACTCAGGAGGCTGAGGCAAGAGGATTGCCTCCAAGTTCAAGGCCAGCCTGGAATACATAGCAAGACCCTGTCTCAAAACAATAACAACAAAAAAAGAAAGAAGCAAAGAAGAACTGAATGGTTGGATAGATGCTGAGACCTACAGCTCAGAACCAAGGGACTATCAAAGGAAGGAGTGATGTGCCAGAAGAGATGGAGGAAAGCTTTGCAGAGGAGGCATCAGAGTGAGCCGGTCTCACCCACTTGGGCAGAAGGGAAGTGCATGCCAGACAAAGGGAACAATCTGAATGAGAGGAGAGCATGGGAGTGTTTATGGTGCCTGGGGAACCAGCAAGGCTGGGGTGATGAAGCAGAGAATGAAAGGCAGTGCAGGGAAGTGTCCTGTCCGGTAGATGGGGGAGAGCCCTCCAGGGCTTGTGGGGGGCTTGAAGCACAGCCCATTTACCCTCCAGCTTTCCTCCTATGCCTGTCTCAGCCTGCCTTCCTGCTGATTTCCCTTTGAGATAACAGAAAGCAATTTCACTAAGTGTGTGCTTCAAGTTTGCCTTCTGTTCACAGGTTTTCTGAGCTTACTGGCGAATCTACTGTGCCAGGAGCTTTCTCAGCACAGCTTAGTACCCAAGAAATTCTAAGGAGCTCTTCAGCTTGACTCCAAGGGCTCAATGTCCTGCAAATGGGGCCTAGATACTTTTAGGGCAGTAGGAGACATTTAGGAGCAGAGAAATTAAACTTATGCCATTGGGTTTGAAGTTCATCTTCCTTGTGCAGGCAAACAAAAAATTTCTCCATGTTCATGACCTACAGCTGTGGTCCCTACCCTTCCCAAGCCTCAGTAAAGAATTAATCACTATTTACAAAGAAGAAAATTCAAGAGGAGCAGAGGCACTGATATGGCACAAAGGGGGGTCCCTGATTTTGGAAAAGGCATGTTAAACACAGTGATCACCCTCTGCTAGATTTTCCCAGGGGAGAAGAGCCAGAGTTTGGCTTCAGATTAATTTATTCTTCCCCCCAACCCCAGTACTAGGGATTAAACCCAGAGGCACTGTACTACTGAGCTACATTCTATTCTTTTATTTTATTTTATTTTTGAGACAGGGTTTCACTAAGTTGCCCAGGCTGGTCTCAAATGTGAGATACCCTTGCCTCAGCCTCCCATGCAGCTAGGATTACAGGTGTGCACCACATCAAAGCCCTTGTCCCAAGGGATCTCACATTTGGTGGTGGAGCCTTGGGGTTAATAAAATTCTCTGTACCGTGGCAGGGGGTCGGAAGTACTCTGAAGAGAAACAAGTTAGGCCTGAAGTTAGAGAGTTCCATCTAGGGGAGTGGCCAGGTGAGGCTGGGAGGTCAAGGAAGGCATCTCTAGGGCAGAACCCCAGTGAATGAGAGCAAGCTAGGCAGAGTGCAAAGGCTTGAGGCAGGAGTGTGAGGGGGCTGCAGGGGGCTGGAGTGGCAAGTGGGCAGGGGCAGATCTGAGCTGTCAGAGAATTGTATTTTTAGGTTGCTGAAGGCTTTTGAGCAGAAGAGGGACACAGTCTGACAGGAGTGCTTTACAAGGGTCCCTCTGGCTGTTCTGTGGTGACAGACCATGGAGAGCAAGGTGGGAGCAAGAACAGGTGACTTGGACCCGGCTGTAAAGGAGAGAAGTGAGAACATGCCTTTGTTTGTTCGTAATTGGATGTGAGAGTTGAGAGAAAAAGGAGAGACAACAGCAGTTTCAAAGCTTTTGATGTGAAGCTTACTGAAATTCCACTTCTGCCACTCCTTCCATATAGCCTCCTATTGTACAAATCAAAACAGGGCTGGGCTATATAGTTCAGTGACAGAGCCAGGAGCACAAAGCCCTGGGCTCCATCCCCAGCATTACAAGACAAAAACAAAAGCAAACCCCACACAGCTTTATGAAGATACAATTCACTTGGGCCAGGGATTTAGCTCAGTGGTTCTGCTGCCTGCCTTGCAAGCGCAAGGACCAGAGTTTGATCCCTGGTACCAAAAAAAAAAAAAAGGTACAATTCACTTGCTGAAATACAATTCACCCATATAAAGTGTACAGTTCAGTGTTTTATAGTATATTCATTGTTGTGCAGCCATCACCACCATCAACTTTAAAACATTTTCATCATCTCCCGAAGCAGCTATACATTAGCAGCCACCAGCCACTCCCCATTTCCTCTCCAGCCCACAGCCCTAGGCAGCCACTAATCTATTTTCTATATCTCTTGTCTACTTTTGGCCCTCTCAGGGTCTCAGAACCCATTTCCCCATCTGTAACTTCACAGGTGATTGTGAGTTGTTTTTTTTCCCCAGGTACTAAGGATTGAACTCAGGACCTTGTGCTCTTGAGGCAGGTGCAGCGCTACTGAGCTAAATCCCCGCCCCATGACCGTGAGGTTTTACAAGATAACGTGAATGGAGAACACAAGGGGATGTCTGAAAGAGCCAGCCCTCTCCCTGCCCTGACTCTTCACTCACCATTCAAAAACAGAACAGGCTACCCTGTGTGTTAGTAAGGTGGCGTGGACAGTGATGAAGAGCCTGGGTGCTGGACCCAGACTACTGGCTTGTAAATTTTAAGCTCAACCATTCACTAACTTTGCAATTTTGGCAATGTTGTTTAACCTCCCTGGGGCCTCAGATTCCTTAACTATCAAAAATGGATCACAGCAAGTGCTCCTAGGTTGTCCTGAGATAAAATATGAAGCACTGGGAACAATGCCTACTATGTAACAAGTGCTCATTGAGTGAATGCTAGTGTGGAATTAGGAGAGAGAGAGGAGAGAGGAGAGAGGAGAGAGGAGAGGGAGAGGGAGAGAGGGACAGAAAGTAAATAATATTTACAGTAATTACAGTAAGTAAAAACAACGTAGAGGCTTGGGATATAGCTCAGTGCTAGATAGTATTTACTTTGTTAGCATGTATGAGGCATTGGGTGAAATCCCTAGCAGCATCAAAAAGCAAAAAGCAAAAAGACAAAAGAAAGCATATGTGTAAAGCAGTTCCTGGCTGTGGCGTCCATTGCAGCAGTTAGGATTATGTGAGAAAGGCACTGTGTTAAGTTGGACCACATAGCAGAGATAGGACTCAAGTTGATTGCCAGCCTGTTGCTCTCTCTCAGGTCTTACCTCATTTCCTCTCCAAGGCAGTTTCTGATTGCCTCGATAAAATCCTTTTTTTTTTTTTTTTTGGTACTGGGGATTGAACTCAGGACCTTGTGCTTGTGAGGCAGGCGGCGGCACCACTGAGCTAAGTCCCCGGCTGCCTGGTTGAAATCTTTGACTCTTGTATAACAGTTTTCCTCTCTCTCCCTTCAGCCATTATTTAAGGAGGATGCTGCTTGTGTCAGGAGTTGGCTTTCCTGAGGGGAGGGGCTGCTGAGTTGCACAACTTTGGGAAAGGTGTGGTCTGGAGAGTATGGAGGGCCCCAGGGCATTCTGTTAACCCTGCCTCCAGGCTCCTGAGAGGTAAGCCACCCTTGGAGGTACCTGAGCTAGGTGAAAAAGTTGGCAGATCTATACAACATTCTCCTTTAAATACTGAACGATAAAAGTAAACATTCGCATTATGGTTAAATGCATAATCTGTGTTTAAAGACTGCAGTCAAACTAAAGAGAGCCAGACATGATGACAGAGTGGTGGATGCCAGCTACTTAGAAGGCTGAGATAGGAGAACTCTGTATATGCTAGGCAGGTACTCTACCACCCAGCTACATCTCCAGACCTTAAGAAAGGTGTCACTAAGTTGCCTAGGTGGCCCTCTTAACACATGATCCTCCTGGTTCGGCCTCCAGAGAAGCTAGGATTACAGCTATGCACAACCTCACCTAGCTCACTTGATAGCTTTTATTTCTTTAAACTTTCATATCATGTTAAGACTTTCAGTTCCAGGATTGTAAGACTATTTTTTCATCTAGGTGGAATTTATTTAATGAATGGTGTTCCAGCTTCATTTTCTCCCAATGGTTGATCTATGATTAGTCCCCTTCTTCTTATTGACTTCCACTTTTGCTCTACCAATTTGAAATATCACCTTTATCATGCACTAGAATTCCTTATGCAGCTGGCTCTTTATCTGTAATGTTTGGTTTAACGTCTGTCTGTTCTTTATCAAAAATACAGTTTTAGTTGTTGTGGCTACCTAGTTTGTTTTAGTATCTGGTAGAACAAACCCAAGCTCATTAATCTTCATACTTTTCTTGGCAATAGAGACGAATGCTTAAATTCACGGACTTTGGGGTCAGATAGTCTGAGCTTAATCCCAGATTGACCATTTACTAGCTGTGGGTCCTTAAGCAAGTTAGTTTTTCTCTTGGTTCCTCATCTGTATAATGTTACTAATAGTATTTCCTCCACAGTGTTTTTGTAAAGATGAGATGATGCATAGCAAATTCTCAGATGTGGCCTGGCACATGGTAAACTGTCAGTAAATTTTAGTTTGTTTGTAATGATAAAGATGCGCCTATTTTTCCAATTGAATTTTAGGAAAATTTTGGCAATGAAATATACTGAGATTTTCATCTTTAGAAGACATTTACCTGGGAGGGAAATTTGGGGATAATTAATATCCACATTATAGGGTCTTTCCAATCTAAGGGAAGCTCCCATCTTCATTGGTCTAAGGTCTTATGCTCCTTGGTAGAGTTTTGTGGTTTTGTTTGTATAAGACGCATATATTTTAACTGTAGTTCCAGAACGTATATTTTCATTGCTTGTAAATGGGATCCTTTATTCCTCATCAAATGGATTACTGGTACATTAAGAAAGTTACTAATTCTTGTGTTTATTTTATACTGTAATTGTTAGGTTGGGAAATAATTTCTCCCCTAGCTTGTGTCAGCCTTTGAGATAAGCTCCTTCTCTCCAACAGGACTGCAGGTTTTTTTTTTCTTGCTATCACCTGCCATCTATCCATGGATTCAGGGATTGTCTTAACTGGGTACTAAGTTCCCAGGGCTTGCATCTGAGGAGGTTATCAGTGGCAATGGAAGATGTCCCATGCTGTTACTGCTGTTTTCTGAGATAGAGGAGGCTCTCCACTAAGACAGAGGACAAGGCAGAGACTAAGCCAGCAACCTTTGACCTCAACAGGCTAACAGTCAACCTTGAGGCAGGCACTGAAATCATCATCAATGTTAAGACTGAACTGTACTCATAATTTTTTTTTTTTGTATCAGGGATTGAACTTAGGACCTTGCACTTGTGAGGCAGATGTGGCACCACTAAGCTAAATCCCTGGTTCTTTTTGTTTTTTGAGACAGGGTCTTATTGTGTAGCTCAGGTTGGCCTTGAATTTCTATGTAACAGACTGGCCTCAAACTCACAGCGATCTGCCTGCCTCAGCCTCCCAAGTGCTGGAATTACAGGTGTATGCCATAATACCCGGCTCCTCATTATATTTTGAATGGGAGTGTGGACATCAGCAGAAACCTTGCTAAAGGAATGCCATTGCAGGAGACATCATGGATCTCTGCAATCCCATCTTGCATTTCTCTCCCCCACTGCAGACCAGCTTTAGCACTGAGTCCCACCTGCATGATTCCATTCAGCATACGTTGATGACACCTGCTCTTTGTCAGGGCCCACTGAACTGGGGAAAAGCCAGTAGCTGAGCTCAAGTCAGAGCTGTTGACTTCTGGTTGTTGTAAAAGGTACTTAAGACTCCTTGGCTTGGGATTGAGCCAGCCCACGTTTCTGGTTTGGTCTTCTCCTGCCCCACTGGACTGCAGGCCACACACCAACTGAACACACTTGCACTTTCACACTCACACATTTTAAATTTCTCCCATTATACTCACTGTCGCTTTTACCTGGCATTCCCTGGCCACTACTCTTTCCTTGGGGGTTTTAAAGCCCAGCTAAGCATCACCTCCTCCTGAAGTCTGCTCTCTCAGCATGTTGCTGCTTCTTTGTCCAAAAGAACTTAACATAGGTCTTAATCATGTGTACACTTACTAGTTTCCATCTCTATAATCCCATTAGACCAGAGACCCTGTCACTGACCTTGTTTTCTTGTCTTTGGTGAAACCTAACACACATGGTTTTTAGGACCCATTACAATTAAAACAGGCCAGGGCCAAAGAAGTGCAACCTGTAAGATTAAAAAGATGGAATGCAGATGAGGGATGAAGGGGTAAGGATTACTTAACTGACTCTAGGGCCCCACTGAGGCAGAACAGTAAGATGGCAAAGTGTGTGGTACTGGAATAGTTGGGGTGGTTTGATTTGAGTCCCGGCTCTGATATATACGAGGTGTGATAGAAAAATCTGGTGTTAAAATTAAGAGGTATCAGGCCGGGGATTTAGCTTAGTGGTTCCAGCGCCTGCCTCGCAAGCACAAGGTCCCGAGTTCGATCCCTGGTACCCAAAAAAAAGAAAAAAAAATTGGAATGGTTCCTTAGTGAGGCCATGAAATCTCCTCCTAAAAACTTTAGCAAACTGGGCCAAGGATTTAGCTCAGTAGTGCCACTGCCTGCCTCACAAGTGGAAGGTCCGGAGTTTGATCCCTGGTACCAAAAATAAATAAATAAATAAAACTTTAGCAAATCAAGCAGGGAGCTTTCATTTTTTCCACAATTTTGGTAAAAGCTAGCTCAGGTCATTGAGGCCATTCTAAGGGGTTCTACAAATCTTTTTTGAACAGAATGAAAGGAAGAATTTATTATTAAAGATGTTCTCCCATTGTTGACCTACATTGCTTTGGAAAATTTATTTTTCCATCATAAAGTAGTACACTGGGCCGGGGATTTGCTCAGTGGTTTCGCCGCCTGCTGTGCAACCGCAAAGACCCGAGTTCAATCCCCGGTATCAAAGAAAAAAACAAAACATAAAGTAGTACACTTACTCTAGATTTGGAAAATAGGTGTAAAGAAAAAAATATTACTTATACCTGCCATCTTAAGTTAAATGTTTTGTAGTTGAAATGAAAAATAATTTTCAATTAAAAATATTTTGTAGGAAAAAACCCGACAAAAATCACCCAGCGCCTTACAAATCAGAAATAACTATTACTAACCTTTTGGTAACTTTTTTTTGGAGACGGGGTCTTGACATATAGCTCGTGCTGGCCTTGAACTTGCAATCTTCCTGCCTTAGCTGCTTAGTCCCCAAGTGCTGGGATTATAGGCATGCTCTACCATGCCTGGCTATTTTTTTGTAATTTAAACCCCATTTCCAGCCATGTGGAGGTCTGAAAAACACCAGATTTTAAATGATGGTAAATAGTAGATGAGCTGTGAGTTAGGACCACCCATCATCTGGCCAGTTTCTGTGACTTAACAAGAGCATCGAGACCATGAAGTATTTATTCTGCTCATCTTTAGAATTTGCATCAATCTGTTTAGTGAAATTATGTCTTAGTCTTGCCCACTTCTGTCCAAGTAGGTTGCAAATACTGTTTAGGGCTCACTCAATGGAAAATTATTCCTCACAGATTTCCTGCAGTGAAGTATTTAAGATAGCATCATTCATTCAACAGTTTGGGTACCTATCATGTGCCAATGATTGTGGTCGATTTGGGGATAGGATGATGAACCCAAGTACATGCTCACACAAGCACAGTTATAAACCAAACATCATAAAAACAAATGAAATGTGGAAGGGACCAGGAATTTACACATTTACTAATCATCTGCTTTGCCAGAAGTGGGGCAAATATGATCTCATTATTTTATTTTTATTTTTTAAAGCGATAGGTCTCATATTTTCCAGGCTGGTCTTGAACTCCCAGGTTCAGGGGACCTTCCTGCTTTAGCTTTCTAAATATCTAGGACCATAGATGTACACCACCATGCTCAGCTCATCTTTTGCATTCGCTATGTACCCTGTTGTCCAAATGATGGCAGTGACTCAGCGAGATTTCATAACTTACCTGGGATCACACAGGTGCAAAAGGACTACAAAGAAGTTCAAACCCGGGCTTGCTGGAGTCCAGATCCAGAGGCAATAAATACATCATCTCATTGTGAGGTTCGGGGGTGTACGTGTCTTGGGAATTCCTGGGTGTCTACTAGTTTTGTTCTTTGCTCATAAGTCTGAAAAGAGAGACTCATCCCTTGCCCTAGGTCAGGTTGAATGTCAGTCCTGTTTATCTTACATTGCCCACGACACTTGTGCCGACTTCCAAAGACAATTTATAGTAAAAATTACTATAATGAAAAAGAAAAAAAAATCACCAAAAAATATATAGGTTTGTATTTTGGTGCTTCTAGCAAGAAAATAAACTCAGGAGCTTTGTTAATGTAAAAAAAAAAAAAAATCACAACTACTTTAGGTTTAATGACTAAAGCCAACTTTCCAACAAATATCTTGTACAGTCCTCTGAATATATTCTCTTTTCATGCTTGATTTGATATTGTAATTAGTTCCTGTTTGATTCTGCAAAGGCAAATATATTCACACCTTGATATATTCACACCTGGATTCCTCTATGGCCTGACCCAACTTTGAGATCCAGGCAGTGTTTGCTGAAATAAATGAAAGTGTTTTCACAGTGCCTATATTAGCTATCTTTGCTGCTGTAAAAAGTTACCACAGATTTAGTAGCATAAAACAACATTCATTTATATCTTGTATTTCTTATGGGCCAGAAACCCAGAGGCAGCATGGCTCAACTGGTTCTCTGCTTCAAGACTAAGGCTAGGATCAAGGTGTCTATATTCTTTCTAGAGACTCTGCTTCCAAACTCAACTGGGCTGTCAGAATTCAGTTCCATGAAGTTATAGGACTGAGATCCCTGTTTTCTTGCTGGCTGTTGGTAGGGATTTTTCTCTGATTTTAGGAGCTGTTTATATCCCTGACTTAGGGCCACTTTCAAAGCTAGTAACGGTGAATACAGTCCCTCTCAAACTTTGATTCTAATTCTACTTTATCTCTCCAAAATGTCTTTGCCTTCCTCTTCTGCTTTTAAATGCCCATGTGATTACACTGGGCTCACCTAGAAAATCTAGGGTAAGTCTCCCTATTTTAAGGTTCCATCTGTAAAATTCCTTTTGCCATTAAATGTAACATGTTCACAAGCTCTAGGGAAGTGATGGTCAACCTTTTAGAGCTTTCAAAGATATAAACAGCTTGCTGTAGCATGCATTCCGTAAGTTTGCCACCACTACTCTAGGGACACTAAAGCTTGGACAATCTGAGGTGAGCAGGGAAGACAGTATTCTGCTTACCACAGTGCGTGTACTAAACATATACATTACAGTGAATCTTCTCTAGTTACTCTTTACAGGTGATGGTGGTGGTGGTATGAAGCTACTCAAAAAGACATTTGAAATAAGCTAGATGCCATGTCAAAGGTTAATGTGTGAGCTGTAGATTGGAAAAAAAGTACAGAAACCAAGTCAATTTTGGGGGGAAGGATTGTTCCTCTTCTTCCTGTTGGGGTGAAATTAGAGAAGAAATTTTAAAATGTGCCTTATTTCACCTTCTGCAATCTGTACATTCTGTAGGACTTTGTTTCCTGGATGTGACAGTCTTGTGTGAACAGTACTAGAAGCAGGATCACTGAACCCTTTTGTGTTAGGGGTTGGGCTGCAAGATAATGCTTTTTTAGTTCCGGTTCTCTCCTGATTGTTAAATCAGGGAATGCAGGCTCTGTTTTCTTATCCATGGAAACCTTTCCAGTGTGGCCACTGATCCTGCTTTTATAGTTTTGGAGAGCTGGCTATCAGTTCAGCTCAGGACTGATTCTAGAAATGTTTCTGGACATTGGTTCAACAAATACACATAGCAAAGCTTTGATGTGGTGTGTACTTCAAATCTCATTTAATGTTCTGTAACCAACGCTCGGAGAGACTACTTAAATACATTGTCCATTGTTAGCTGGTAACAGCTACCACTTATTAAACATGTGCTCTATACCAGGGACCAAATTATATGAATCTAATAATGTTAAGGTCCTCCTTCACAGACTTTCGCTCTACCAAACATTTTATTGTTAATTTTTAATCCTAATAATTCTGTGAGACATTAGCCCAATATAGATCAAAAAACAGGCTCAGGGAGGTTGAGTGGAGAGCCAAGGAGTGAACCAGCCAGGATTCCGGTCTAGCTTCATTTGACTCTAAGCCTGAGCTCTCTCCAGGATACTGCCTCTAAACATATAGTAAGGTATCCATGTGTCAATATGACCCCAAGTTCTTTACCTGCTATCCTATCACCAAGTTCATCAATTGGTAAGAAAGCTGTACGCTGCAAGTGCAGCCTCTATAAATATCACAGCGACATGAAAGCATAGGAGGAAATGGGGAACCGTCTAGATCCGTCAAACGTGGAAAAACCGTTTTACTGGTATGAGTGTCTTTTTGTTTCATTATTATATGACAGTGAGTCATTTAGATGCAGACCAAAAGGGAAAGTCCTGCCTCTCGCCACCTACAAGAATTGTAGGTGAGAACCGCTTAGGTGGGCAGAGGCACAAATTGGGAACTGGGAGTCGACCAACAATTCCCAATTCCCATCCTCACCAGAACAGCGGTCCAAAGACAAGCAGCTTAGAAAGAGTTAAGCGCGGCGGTAGAAGAGCAGCCACCGCCCCTTCCCAGCAAAGCCTCCCATAATCCCGCGGGGCTCAGCCAGTTCCCGCACCTCGCGAGACTCCGCCCAGTCCCTTCCCCGAACGTCTGCCCACCCCTTTTCTTACCAAGCTCTGAGCGAAGCGGAGAGTGGGAGGGGGGAGGGGGGAGAGCGGAAAAGATGGCCGCATAGTGAGCCGGGAAGTGTGGTCCAAACGCTTCACTCAGCCATATCCTTCCGGAGCGGAGGAGGCCAGAGAGGCAGCCGGGACTACGATTCCCAGTCATCCTTTCGGTTTGTTTTTGTTCAAAAAAAAAAAAAAACCCCACACTCCCCCTCCTCACTCTTCACACACACTCACACACACCCACGACAGACACGCACGCACCCAAGCGCCGGAGGGAAAGCCGCGTCTCGCCGTTCCGCCCTGCCGCCGGTCCTGTCTCAGTCCCTCAGCAGAGCGGGAAAGCGGAGGCCGGAGCCGTGACCCCTGACCCCGTGGTTATGCGGGGCCGCCGCATTCCTTAGCGATCGCGGGGCTGCTGCTGCCGCCGCCGCCGCCGTGGGCGACTGACGCAGCGCGGGCGCGTGGATCCACTGCCCCTCCCCCACCGCCGCCCTCGCGCCGGGTCTCGCACCAGCTGGTCCCGCGCGCCCGCCCCTTCTCCGACCGCACCCGAGTCCTCGTGTGCGCCGCCGCCACGCGCCCCCCGTTGCCGCCGCCGCCCCAGCCCCGCGCCGCCGCCGCCCCAGCCCGTTCCGCCCGGAGGTCCCGCGTGGAGCCGCCGCCGCGGAGGAGAATGAAGGACAAACAGAAGAGGAAGAAGGAACGCACGTGGGCCGAGGCCGCGCGCCTGGTGAGGGTGGCCGCGTAGGGGGCCTCCGTGGGGGGGTTGGGGGGGTGGGCGCGTCGCGCCCCCGCGCCCGGAGGGGGAGGGGCGAGGCCCGGCCCACAGCAGGAGGGGGCGGGGCCGCCCTTGCTCTCGGAACGGAACCACCCCCCAAGGCGTCGGGTGGGGAGCGGTCCCCGCCAGAATGGGAAGTGGCGCCTTTTTCTTCGACCCCCCCCCCTCGAATTCCTGCGGAGCGGCGAGCCGGCGGCCGACTCCTCCCCCTCTGCGCTGCGGGGCCCCAGCCTCCCCTCCCCCACCTTGGGCAGCGGCTGGGGGTCTGGGGAAGCTCAGCTTATTCACCTCGAGGAGTTGGGTTTCCGGGAAGGGTCGGAAGCGCCCCCTTCCGTTCTTGGTGGCCAACTGGGTGTTGCTCTGGACCCCGAGGGTGGGAAAGGGCCCCTAGTTTCAAGGACGCGAGAGGTAGTGTTTTCCTAATCTAAACCAGGTGTGCGATGGTCAGCTAATACTTGTTCTCAGCTTGAACCCTGAGTAGTGGTTCTCAAACTTTTGTGCCCTGGGGGCAGACACCTGGGGAGGTTGTTAAAAATGTTGTCCCAGGGCTCTATTTAGCACCTACTGGAGGTCCGAGATTCTGGGAGAGATAGTCTAAGAAACAGTATTTTAACCACCTTCCTAGGTGGCTGTAATGCAGGTGGCCCAGGGACTACAACAGAAACACTGTGACTAGAGTGTGCAGCTTCATAGGCTAGACTTGGAGGTAGGCGCTGAGAACTGAATACACTTTGCAAAGAACGTTTGTTGGACAAAGACAAAGTGTCTCTGTTTGGAGGTACTGTTCACTGAGGGTTTAACGAAAGTGAGAGTAATTTGAGTGCCTGAGGTGCCTGATGAGGGATGTTGTGAATTTTCTATTCTCAAAGCGTCAGAGGACTCAAGTGAAATTAGTTTCCTTTTGGATTTACACTGCAAATCCAAGACATTTTGAGAAATGTTCGTATAAAATGTTGCTGATGACACTTTCCTTTTGGATTTACACTGCAAATCCAAGACATTTTGAGAAATGTTCGTATAAAATGTTGCTGATGACACTAGTAACAGTTTTTTTGTTTTGGGGTGTTTTTTTGTTGGTTTTTTTTTGGTACGGGGGGATCAATCTCGGGACCTTACGCTTGCTTGGCAGGCGCCGGAACCACTGAGCTAAATTCCCGTTTCTAACAGATTTTACTTCTCTCAGCAACGTTGTCTCAACTGTAACAGAGCATGATTCTGGTGTAGATAGCATACATGTCTGTTGACACCTTGTAGTTCATATGTAATTGCTATAATTCACTTTTACTGTTGAATGAAACTCAGCTTTGTAATTTTTTCTCTTACGGGGAAGTGAGTTTTCTCCCTCAAAGTGGTGTGCAAAAGAAATAAATGTGGGATGTTGATAGAAATCTAGAGTACACCTATTTCTTTTTTTGGCATCTGTGAAACTCAGTTACTGATTGACAAAAACTGAAGTTGTTTGAGATGAAGGAGAATTTTCACTGTTGTTCCTGGTAATCTTCCTTGGACATTTATTGCACTGGAAACAAGTAGTAATTGTATGGTGAAGTTTTGTCCTTCAGTTTATTTTTTTGATTTGCCATGTGAAATTTGAAGATTTTTCAAGCCTCCAAATATTTTTTTTTCCTAATTCGGTCAAGATTGGAAGCTTTGACTGGTTTCAAGATGTTGGAAATTTCAGGATTTCTTCAAGATTGCCTCACTTGGAAATAAGCTTTGGTCTGAAGGAGAGAGTCTGAAGAGAGTCAGAAGGACACACTCTCTCCTTTCAGATCCTTGAACGTTCATTGAAATTCTCCTTTGAGTTCCTGTGTGCAGGTGTTTATGACTGGGCACTCAAAAGAAATTTGCTTGCTACAGTTGTACTTTATAGGTAGGTGAAAGTAACCTTTAAATCTCCTGTTATGTCCTGAGACAGAGTTCTGCAGTCTACTTGTCTCAAAGTTCTGTTAGCTCTTACTAGTTTAAATACTAGGAATTCGGGGTCTGCTCTTCTTTTAAGCCTCTTTAAGTTCCTAACTTTGCTGTAATCCGAACTTAAGTGTCTAGGTTGCTATTTCTGTTTTATTATTGCCTCACCTTCAAGCCAGATTGTCCAAATGAGTTCTCTTCTTTTGTGTTTCTTTATTTAGAAAAATGTGAATAGTAGTTACTTTATGGGTGCAGTTATATATTTGAAAGACTTGTGGGAATGTGGTGTATAAAGGTTCCATTATTTTTCTTCTTTTTGATGGTGGTGGGGATCACACCCAGGGCCTTTCAAATGCTAGGCAAGCACTCCACTGTTCTACCTCTCTGGCCCTAATTTTTCATATCTTTTAGGTGGTTTTTTTGTTTTTGTCTTGTCTGACCCTTTGGATGGTGCTGATAAGTGAGGGAACATCTTAAAAGAGTCTTTCCAGCTGGGCTGTAGTGGTGTACACTTGTAATCCCACCACTCTGGGAAGCTGAGGCAGACGTATCAAGATTCAAGTTTGGCCCAGAATACATAGCAAGACCCTGTCTTAAAGTACCCTCCCCATCCCCCCCAAAAATCCCCCCTTTTTTTTTTTGCCCGGCAGGCGCAGTGCTGCTGAGCCTACCCTGTGCTGTTTTTGTTTTTGTTTTTGTTTTTTTTGGTACCAGGGATCGAACTCAGGTCCTTCTGCTTTCAAGGCAGGTGGCAGAACCACTGAGCTAAATCCCCGGCCCTGTTTTTGTTTTTCAAGATGCTGTCTCACTAAGTGCTGTAGAGCTTATGAAAGTTTACACTGGACAGAGAGAGGTTACACTGACTAGGAGGAGTTGAAATGGTAGAGCAGTTAATTAGACTATCTGAACACTGTTACTATACTCTTTGGGCAGGTAAATTTAAAGTGCCTGCAATGGCAGTTATACACACTTGCTAGGTGGGAGTTTCAGATTGCTCCCAACTTTTCTTTGGTGACTGCTTGGTACTGGAATTCTTACAAACTGTCTTGGCAGAGGAAGGGGCTTTTGGAGAAGTTCAGTAGAGTATATATTTCAGGGGATTGGTTTTTTTAGATGTTAATGATGTTGAGAAATAGGTAATCTTCTTTCAAATGTCTTATAGTACAGAATTGTCTTTTCTGGACATAAGTAGGCTTTAGGTAGGTAGTTTGAGGAGTATAAATCCTCTTGCTTGTTAGGAACAATTTGGGAGGAATAGCCAAGGAAATTTCTCCTTAAATTGAGTGTACTAGCCTTAAGTGAATTCTCCCTGGCTTTGAGAAACTTCATTGCATGCTTTATCTTTCACTTTGATTCATGACTGACCATTCTTACATCAAACATTTTTTTCTTTGAAGTAGAAGAGATACTTTTTTCTTTCTTGTACAGTCTAAAAAGGATCAGAATAAAACACTGCTCAATTGTTCTTATACCAAAAGCTGGAGGCATACACAGTTTTAATAAAAGTGAATACTTTGTATCTTTTGACGTAACTTCCCTTTAGAGATTTTATTTCCTCTTAAGAGTCTCGGGCTCTTCTTGACTGCCCTTTGACTAACTGGTAGCCACATTTTCAATCATGCTTCTTAAATTATTCTATGAAAATTTGCTAGTCAGCTCACAATTAGTATCAAAGGAATGATATCTTGTGGTAGTGAACATTAGTACCTTGTACTAGGGTTTATTGTAGGCTCAGCTCAAGTCAACACTGTCTATTGTGGCACTTACTTTCTTGGAATACAAAGATAAGGTTTGCCCCTGGGGAGATTTTGGCCTTCTGGGGATAGGGAAGGATCCATAATTGCAGGCACAGTAAGTGTCTCATAGATGTATAAATGGTAAGCCAATGTCCTTGTTTCTGACCACTGTCCAGGCATAATTATGATTAGTTTCTCCTCTCTCAAATATCTTGGTTTGGAAGATAATCATGTGTACTGTGGGACAGACAGTGGGGGCACTGATAAAGAGACATTTAACTCTCAGTAACAGAGATCAAGGAGGGCTGGGGATTTAGCTCAGTGGTCCTGTCACCTGCCTCAAAAGTGCAAGGTCCTGAGTTCGATCTCTGGCGCCAAAAAAAACAAAAACCAGAGATCAAGGAATCCTTCCTCTGGAGGAAGATGCTTTTTTTTTTTTTCCTTCAAACTTTCACTTCCTTTAGTGCTGAAACCTTACAGTCTTGCATTGAGTACCTTCAACAGTAGTCCTGTTAGACTTGCTTTTTACATTTTACTGGTAACAGAGCATACTTGTTTGTTACCATTGCTATATAACAGCAAGATGTTAGCTTGGAGTTGCCTCAGCAGCTGCAACACGTAGGAAAAGTACAGACAGTGACAGACTTTTTCCTGAATTAGAAGAGTAACATTTCTAAAACTTCTCCTTTTTTTTTGGTACCAGGGATTGAACTTGGGACCTTGAACTTGTGAGGCAGGCGGCAGAACCACTGAGCTAAATCCCCGGCCCTAAAACAACTTCTTAAAAGGAGACACTTGCAGTTGCTCACTAAGTTGGAGTGACGCAGTTATAGATGATGCTTACATAAAGTGGACATTGTATTTCTCATTTCACTTAACACTAGTCACACAGAATCATAGGATCATGTTGCCAAATGGCAGAATGTACTGTGGCAGTTAAAACAAGAATTTCACAACACAGTGGCAAAAGAGTACTACTGAAAAAATACAAGTATTAGTCAGACTTCCTTGGGAAAGAAAATCTGAATGAATTTCTGTCTTATAACTTACTGTGCAGCAGTATATATTCTGTAGTTTAACAGTATCAACAGTATCAAATTCAGTAGTCACCAAAGTTGTAAATTCTTGCATACCATATAACATGTATATTAAGATATGTGTCCTTAGAATTGAGAATGGAGTATTTCTTGAAGTTATTTTCAGTATATGGTGTAGGTGTCAATTTGCTTTCTGAAGTAATTTTTTCTTTTCTTGCTCTGGTGAGGATTGAACCCAGGGCTTCATGCATTCTAGGCCGGTGTTCTGAAGTAACTTTAACTGGAAAAACTAAACTGTCACTAGCAGTACTTTATAACAAAACTGTAGCCTGTGGTATAGATTGATGGATATAAATGGAAAATGCACATTGAAATCAGGATATTTATGTTTCTTCAGGTATTAGAAAACTACTCAGATGCTCCAATGACACCAAAACAGATTCTACAGGTCATAGAGACAGAAGGACTAAAGGAAATGAGGTTTGTATTGCTCCTGTTGCTTATCATGAGAGTTTCATAGGACATGGATTTTTTAGTTAGTGATCTGAGTGAGTCCACCTGTTTGTGTATATTTTGTGTATTTGGGGTTGGTCTTGAGCTATCCATGATCCTTGTGTGTCCTCTGAGTGGAGAGTGGGAGTGGGCAAACATCCATTTCTTTTTATAGATCTTGACCTAGAGCTTCTATTTTGTGTAAGGAGTCAGGACATATTTTCTCTTGTAGTCTGTTTTGCAAGTTTCAGTAATAAAGAAGGGGCAGGCCCAGGTAGACCCTATTTATTGTGTCTAAATTACCCTTCTCTCTGTGCCATACTGTCTGTGATCTTATAGAATCCAAGAAGGGTGATCTCATCTGTGTAAAACCTTTTGACTGATCCCCTTTTCCCACTGATACTGGCCATTCATGATGTGAATTTGCTGTTTTGGGGTGGTCTTTATTTTCTTATGATGTAGTTTTCCCAGGTAAGCAATAAGTTAGAAACAGAAGGAATTGTTGGCATGAAATCCAGTGACCCTAACCCTTTTTCTCCTCAATCTTACCTCAGCATTTTTTAAAAAAAATTTAAATGAAGAAGGAAGCAAGCACAGCACGACCTTCTTGGGACTCATAGTAAACAGCAAATGTTTTTGCTGGTCAAGTGATAGCTGCTTGAATTGACCTTTTTAGGGTCCAAAGATCCCCATTGCCAGTTGTCAGATCAAATATTCTTGAGTTGATGTTTTGTAGAGAGGATTAGGATTGCCTGGATCATAGTTATTCAGCTTGTATACCTATGCACTATGAAGTATTATAACTGTACTTTATTTTTGTTTTTATGGGCTATTTCCCATCATGCTGCTGTCTGCACTGCTGCTGGACCACTATTCCTTAGAAGGTAAATTAGTCCCTTTGGGACAGATGGAATCGAGAACCTCATCTTGTTTCTGCTTCTTGCTCTTGTAGGGATTATGAAGCAGTCATGGTGGCCATGATGAGTGAGCAGCTCTATCAATTTAAGACAGAGGGATAGTGTATAGGAGTCATAGAAGGACTGTGCCAGCATGCTGTTCCTCCTTATAGCAGAGATGCTAGCATACCTACTTGATGCTCCAGATTCTGCACCAGGGTTCTTCTAGAGATTGGTTCTTGGTGAATTTTTTTTTTTTTAAAGCATCTAGTGTATTCTAAAGCAGAATAATAGGGTTTTTAAAGTGATTTTTTTTTAATACTCAGAATTTATTTTGAACACTGTAAATTAGGACCTCTAGCTTTGAAAAATACTAAGAGGCTTTGCTTAAGACATTTGTTTCTGTATTTTTAACATGTTGGGGAATAGGGGAAGAATAGAGAAGATATACAGGTAAATCCTAGCACTAATATGCTAATGGCCAACTTAGTTAATATTAATGGGCATTTATCTATATTTTTGACAGCTTTTCTATTTTAAGACTCAGCCTCTCATTAAATTGTCATTATTTTGTGACATGCTGTTGTGTCAGGGTCTATGAAACAAGTTAATATACCATCATTTTAGTTTTAATGTTGAAGCATTACTGGGTGTTAATCTATTTGACTGACTTTTCTTTTTGCATTCAAATTTAAATGATTGTTCCTGGATAGATGTAGAATAAAACACAGCCACCTTTCTTCCCAACAGAGAAAAAGCAAATGAAGTTGTTTCTTATTAGAAAATATTTAACTGAACAAATAAAGATGTGTTTGTTTTATTGGGATGTTTGTCATTGATTCTATGGTCTTTGTGTTGATAATGTTATATGGCAGTTTCTGAGTGTGATAAATAGGTTGACACATTGTTTGGGTTTTTGGGGGTGTTTTTTTAGATGTTTTTAATAGTAAAATTTTGCTAAAATGTAAGCTTTTAAATTTTATTAAAATATAACTTGAAAAAAGTATGTGGTTTTTCTAAATTTCTTGGGAATTTGGTTAGCAAGTGTTAGGTGTAGATTTCAGGTATCACATCACGTATCTTGCTCCAGATGTCTTAGTATGATTTATGTGACTTTGAATTGGTTACTCATTTACTACTTTCAAAGTAGAATTGTTGTCCTGGGATTTTTTTTCTTCAAAATTTCTTGTTCCATTTCTTGATTTAAAAAAGAGTGGGAAAGATTAAGTCTTTGGTAAGTGGTATATGGATTTGTATGACCCTCATCCAACCTTTGTGTTTTATAGTGGGACATCCCCTCTTGCGTGCCTCAATGCCATGCTACATTCCAATTCAAGAGGAGGAGAAGGGCTGTTTTATAAATTACCTGGTCGAATCAGCCTTTTTACACTCAAGGTAAGTAACTCTGTTTTAGTGCATTGGTTTTCAAGCTTTTACTATTCATACAAGTGACCTGGTAGGAGCCGGGTATGGTGGTGTACACCTGTGATGCCAGCACTTGGGAGGCTGAGGCCGAGGATCGCCAAGAGTTTGAGGCCAACCTGGGGCTACATAGTGAGTTCAAGGCCAGCCTGAATTACATAGCAAGACTCTGTCTCAAAAAGCCACCTTGGTAGGTCCGAATGGTGCCCATGAATTTGTTTTTCTAATAAGCAGTTGAGTGGCACTGATGTTGGTCCTCGATGATGCTCTAGTGAATAGAGTACTAAGAATTATGAAGTCCTATCAGCTACTGTTTCTGTGTGCAGCATTGCTTATGTATATCTTTGTAGATTATATTCAGGTGAAAAGCTTGTGTGGGAATGATTACAAATGTGCCTAAATTAAGGTTTTGTTTGTAATTTTGTGAGGAATAAATTACTGGGCAGCTATAGTAATACCTACTATGTGGAAAATACAGTGGCACCTTGGTTCACTAACTTAATTTATGATTTTGGGGAAGATGACCACATTTGTGTTTGTGTGGGGAAGATGGCTGTGGTTGTGTTTGACACCTGATGTGGAGTTTGTGAATGGAAAAAAATTATTGTTGAACTCTTTTTTAAAATTTTTTTGGTATTGAGGATTGAACTCAGGACCTTGCGCTTGTAAGGCAGGCAGCGAGACCACTGAGCTAAATCCCTGGCCCAGTTGAATGCTTTTTGATGACCAAATTGTTTTTGAACAGAAGCATTTATGAACCCAGGTATTACTGTAGCTGAAATATGAACAACAGTATTAAGTGTCACTAATTACAGAGGAAAAGGAAGAGTTTATAATAAAGCTTGAATAGGACTGAAGTGAACAAACTTATTTTTTTAACCATTTCTGATATGTATGGTTATCATTTGGATCATAGAAAATATTTTGGGTTTTTCGTGGCTATACTGTTTGTATCATAACTACTTACTTACCTCTGCCCTTATATCAGGAAAGTAGACCATACATAAACAAATGGATGAAACTGTGCCAGTATGACAACAAGTATTTATTTTATTTACCGGTATCTGTTTTATTTACAAACGTAGGTGATGGGTCATATTTGACTTGGGACTTAGTTTGCTGACCCTTGATTTTTTTTTTTTGTACTGGGGATTGAACTCGGGACCTTGTCCTTGTGAGGCAGGCAGCAGCACCACTGAGCTAAATCCTTGGCCCTCACCCTTGATTTTGACTTAAGATGACTTGCTGACTGTAGAGAAACTGAAAATTTGATGCTAATCCTTATGTTCCTCTGTATTTGTAAATCGCAGTAGTCATTATATAAACTTTTCCTTTCAGTTTTGTTTTCTTGATAGACTGTTAATTCAAAATCAAGTAAATACTTGAATAAATGCCAGCTATATAACCTGTAGTCATAAAAATTGGTTCATATATTTGTTGGTATGTTGAGATGGGTTTTTGTGGGCTGGGGATTTAGCTCAGTGGTTCCAGCGCCTGCCTCAAAAGCGCAAGGTCCCGAGTTTGATCCCTGGTACCAAAAAAAAAAAAAAGAGATGGGTTTTTGTTATGTTGCCCAGGCTGGTCTCAAGCTCCTGAGCTCAGGGACTCCTCCCACCTTAGCCTCCTGAGTAGCTGGGACTATAGATGCATGCCTTTCTTATAATCCAGTTTGGAGGGAGATGATCCCCTGAGTTCAAAGCCCAACTTTATAACCTGGGGTGGACTTAACCCCTCTTTATGTATATTGAGTTTTGGTCCTTAACAAATGGTAGGTTTTATGGTATTACTGGATTCTTCGTTGTTAATTGCATATTAATGGCATTTAGTTATTATATATTATGTAATTAAATGTAATTATAGTTACATGTATTATAGACATTACAAATATGGCTAAGGACATTTTCTTTTGGGGGGAGGCAGTACGGGGCGCTGTACCATTTGTACTGAGCTATATAAATCTCCAGACCCTTTTTTTTGGTACCTGGGATTGAACTCGGGACCTTGTGCTCTCGAGGCAGGCAGCGGCACCACTGAGCTAAATCCCTGGCCCTCCAGACCATTTTTTGAGACAGGGTTCTGCTAAATTGCCTAGGCTGGGCTTGATCTTGGAATCCTCTTGCTTCAGCCTTCCACAATATTTCTAATTTTATTTTATTTATTTATTTATTGGTACCGGAAGTGGAACTTGAGTCCTTGCACTTGCGAGGCAGGCGGCGAAACCACTGAGCTAAATCCCCAGCCCTGCAATATTTCTAATTTTAAGAGGGAGGAGAATTACTGTGGGTTTGTTTTTGTTTCTGTTTTTTTTGGGGGGGGTTCCTAAGGGGTGTTGAACCCTGGATCTCTCCTATGCTAAGTACCCAGTCTACATTCTACACTAAGCTACAACCGTCCACCTTGAGCATTACTTTTTTCTATGAGTACCTCGAGTGTAGGAATTGAATTTTTTGTTTTGTTTTATTTTTTGGCAGTATTGGGAATTGAATGTTGGGGCACTTTACTCTGAGCTGCATCCTCAGCCCTTTTTAAACATTTTAAAATATTTTTGAGACAAGCTCTTGCTAAGTTTCCCAGGTGGAACTCAAACTTGGAGTCCTGCTTTAGCCACTCCCTATGTGCTGGGATTACAGATGTACCCCATTGTGCCCAGCTGGAACTCAGTTTTATTTGTCTTTGAAACTTGGCTCTGGACAGAATTCTTGGCATAGTCCATTCTTAATAAATGTTTGAACTGAATTACATTTTTCCATTGTAATACATCTTTCAGTAAACACCATTATATGAACCTGCTGTAAGCCTAAGGGTGTTCTGTTAGTCTGCAGTCCATGTCTGAGGTGCATTGATTAAAGATGAGCTCAGCACTTCGTCTCATCACCTTTGGCCTCTTTGCTATCCTTCATAGCATGTTGCTCATTGGCCCTATAAGCATTGCTTCTCTGATACTCATTTTGTTCTTTTTGAATTAAAGATTTGGTTTGTTTGTCTGGTTCTACTAGTTAGACCAAAAAATCATTGAAGATAGTCTATATTTTATTTCAGTATCCATGATACTAGAATGTAGGCTGTCTTGGATACATGTGTAGAGAATGAATTAATGAGTAATGGTTACATTTTGGCACTTTTTTATTCTTTTGTTTTGACACATGATAAATACTGTGTCATTGGTGCCCCCTTTTCCCACTTGAGGGTTGAATCCAGGTTCTCCAGTATGCTAGGTGGTTGTTCTGTCACTGAGCTACATCTCTGGCCCCTGCTTACAATTTTGATGAAACTATTTCTAGATCTGCCTCACGTATCTAGTGCATATCTTTTGCTGTGGTAGAATTTTAATTTGGTTAATTATCTCTTAATATTTTTGATCTAATTAAAAGCAGTGTATGTACACATAATAAGAAAGCAAAATCCAACAGAGAACCTATACAGTTCTGCTACCTGTAACCTAAATAATTTGTATGTATATTTGAAAACAGTGGATTATACTTTCTTTATACCTTTGCTGCATTTTTTTATTCATTTAACATATTTTGAACCACTTGCTTATTCTTTTAAAAGACTTTCATAAGGATTCCACATCCAGGTTGTGAATGGGCGGTGATTTATTAGCCTCTTGTTAAATGCCTCATAAACACTACATTGTCTCCCAGAAGTTCCACAGGCATTTACTTTATTGTTATTCAGGAACAGATGAGAAGAGGGATCGAAAGTCTAAGCTAGCTAGTTACTGTCTTGATCAACTGAGAACTCAGGTCTGCCGAACAAACATGAATCTAAGGTGGTGTTAAGTATATATTTATTGTATCCTCGTTATTTTTTATTTTGAGAAATTTAAAACCTACCAAAGAATTGAAGGAGTACTATAGCAAACACCTTATCCATCTAGCATTCATCTAGATTTATTGTTACAAGTTTCCCATATTAACTTTATTTTTCTCTATATATGTGTGCATTTTTTTCAGAACGATTTCAAAGTGTTAACAAGTACAGATACGATACTTCATCTCTAAATGTTTTAAAATGTCTTAAGAATAAGGACATTTTCCTGCATAACTGTGGAAAGTGAAAGTATATAATATATAGTCCCTATTTAAATTTTTCTCTAGTTGTTCCAAAAATCCTGTATCCAATCAAAACTCATGCATTACATTTGATTGCCACGTCTCTTTAGTTTCTTGTAATATACAACAGTTCCCTTGCCTTTTTCTGTCTCTCTTGCATTAATATTTTCGAACAGGTTAGTTGTGTAGAATTGAGTACATTTTTTTAAGGACTGATGAAAGTGTAGGAGTCTTGGCTATTTCCAGACTCCTTAATGTTTTACTGCTTAGATCATGTGTATTGTCCCAGGTTGTGGTCCACAGCTACTTAGGGAAGGATAGAAGTGATGGGATGTTTTGCATAGTGGTCTTCTGTTTTTAGGGCTTTCATATTGGACTAATATGCTTTTATGACTTGGTGGTTGTGTCATTGGTGGGTCTAATCTGGTTTAGTGAATAGTCATTCCAGCACTGATTGTAAGGCATATCTGCAGTTATCTCACCAATATTGAGTTTTGTTATTGAATAATACTCAAATGGAGATGTCATTTACAGCTATTGACTCTTTATTGTATCTCATGTAGTGATATAGAGCTCAAATATCAAGATCTTTTTAAATTCAATTAACAAGGTCAGTTGAAACTTTTAAATGTGTAGAATATTTGAAGAATAAAAATACTTTGGTAAAAATAAATGACTAGAGGGCTGGGGATTTGGCTCAGTGGTTTTGCCGCTTACTGCGCAAGCGCAAGGACCTGAGTTCTATCCCCGGTACCAAAAATATAAATAAATAAAAAATAAATGACTAGAAGAACTCTCCTTTCACTAATATCAGTAGTCTGCAAGTGAAAGGAAAAAGTAAAGGGGAATGTGAAAGGAGATAATTGTAACATTCTTTACAATGTTATTTAAATAAAATTAAAATTTTTATCCACAACT